TCTCTCTCTCTCTCTCTCTGTTACACACACACATACACACTCCACCTCCCAAACTCTAAGATTCCTCCTTTCCTGCATGCAGCCTGTCCAGAGAGATGCACAGTAACAAAGCCCGCGTCCTGGTTTAAGTGGGACCTGGGTAAGTTAGCAGTGATGCTGCTCTGTCTGGTTTGAAAGGGACTGACAATGGCACAAACTCACCCCATCCCTGGGGGCCTGAGCTGGAGAGAGGCTCACCAAGGTAGCCTGGATGGCCAAGGCGGTCGCCCGGTGCAGAGGCTGGGGTCCCCATCACCAGACACAGCGTCCACACTGCTGCCTCTGAGAGTCCAGCCTTGCACTGTCTGCAGCTTGCATGCTTTCTGAGCATCCGTGTGTGTGTGTGTGTGTGTGTGTGTGCGTGTGTGTGTGTGTGGTCACTAGCAGACCTGGCCTGGTGCTCGGAGGGCCCTGTGGTTGTCTTGAAATTCTGAATAATTTTTAACAAGGACTCTGCATTATCATATCATCTGAGCCCCACTAATTGCATAGCTGGCCTTGCTGATGAGGAAAGCAATGTCCCCCAACCCCCCACCGCCCCCACCAACATCCTAGTTGGAAAGAACCAGAAAGCAAATGAGAGTCCCCATCTTGGGGAGCTACTTTAGGGAATGTGAACTTGAGGGACATTCAATTCCCAAAAGACTTCCTGTGGAGGGATAGGGAAGGCGCTTCCTGGGACATCGGGCTATTCTTCCACCACCAACGACAGTGCACATCGGTCATCTGGGAGAGCACTTTTACTTCATATTTGTTATATATTTTCAACAAAGGAAAAAGTTGGGGGTCTTTTTGTCTTGGGGTGTATTTGTGTGATTTTTTGTTGTTGTTGTTTTAACTAAGACAGAATTTGTGATACCAGACCTGCTTTCCTGGTTCAAGCATGGTACCTCCAGGCCCACCCCTCTTGTGTGCGGCACCCTTAACAGAGGGGCTCCCTGGAGACATCCATGCCTCCCCAGGCCGACCACCTTCCGCAGCCCTGGTCTTGCCCGCATCTCATGGGGCTTCTGTGGCTCAGAGAGCAGTCCCATTGGAACCTAGTAGGAGGTAGTCTCCAGTGGCCCACCCCACCCCACCCTTTGTAGACAGTACTTCCTTTCCCACGTTTCCAGAGCAGATCTCCCTAAATGCTGGCTACAGACACGAGACCTAGCAGGATATACACCGTGATACAGACTCATAGGGTCTGGGAGGGAAGAGGCAGGAAAGGGTGAGACATGGACTCTGCTGCCTGAAAGCATATGCCTCTCGCTCCTTGGAGCCCACAGGTCCTTCCAGACCTACCTGGTCCCCAGTCCTTGCATGGGCTCCCCTCTTGTCTGACCCCTCTGCTGCAGGGTTTGCTTCCTGATTGAGGATCCTGTACTCATTCTCTCATGGATGTTACTCTTACTTTCCCAACGAGTTCACAAGCTCCTGGGGAACAAGGACCACATCTTCTCATTTCTTTCATCCTCCATGGCCCTTGACAAGTGCTGGTCCTGATGGCTGCCGGCCTCCCAGAGGCTCGCTCATGGTGGTCCATGGAGAACTGCAGGGCATTCAAGGTGCTATCGGCCATTTGATTCTTCTGTGCACCTCTCGGGGTAGACATATCCCACTTTACAGGTAAAAAAAAATGGGGCTTAGACATGTGCAATTATTTACAAGAAAATCAAACTGTCTCTAGGATCTTGATATGGGCTAGATCTCCTGACGCCAGCACAGTGCTCTGTCCCCAATGCCCAAGCAGCTGGAGAGGTAAAGATTGGGCCTTGTATTCTATCTGGAGCTCCTATTCTAGTCCCAGGCATATACTAGGTGCTCAGTAAATGCTTTTTGGATGAATGAGCTGATGAATGAGCCATAAAGAGGCATTTCCTCACTTAGAATTTCATATGATGATCTGGTAAGGATGCATTCTTCATCCCTGGGGGGGGGGATATTTTTATAAAAATTATTTTTATTGATTTCAACCTGGGCATGTGCCCTTGACCGGAATCGAACCCAGGACCCTTCAGTCCTCAGGATGACGCTCAATCCACTGAGCCAAACTGGCTAGGGTCCTGGGGGCATTTTTATACTTGCCTGGGATAGTTGGGGTATCTGAAGTCAAAGAAATAGACGTGAACCTCACAGTCTCCTCGCCATTATTTCACAACACTTTTCTTTGTTTCTTGCAGAGTCACTTTGTGGCGTGTATGACAGCAATCTTACACCAGATGGGCGACCAGCACTACTCCTTTTACATTGAGACCTTCCAGTCCAGCTCCGAGCTCGTGGTAAGTCTATAGGATGCTGGGGGCAGGGCGGGCAGTGTGAGGGAGACATGTCACACTCGGTTCTCAGAAGTTTGGGACAAGAAGGGCTCCACTGTGGACCTTGAGGAAGTGTGTGTCCAAGTTTACAAATGGGACTGCGTGGTTTGCTATTCTCACTCCCCTTCAGGCTGGTACACATCCTCTGGAACATGCCCACATCAGAGATGAGACCTGAATGCCAAGTCATGATTCATCAACAAATATTTGTTAATGAATTTGGGGGCTTACTGGCATGCATGTTTGAGTTGCACGGTCCTGGGCTTAAACCCAGGATTTGTCCCAGTTAGCTGTGTGATCACGGGCGGGTTAACCTCTCTTCAGCTTTAGTCTCCCTATCTGTACAGTGGAGATAATATCATTTATGTCACAGGGTTGGAAGCGGGTTCAATGAGAACACAGCAACTCTGAGATGCTAAGTGCTCAGGAACAGACAGCGAATATGACATTATGACAATAAACGCATGGAGGAAGTTGGCCTCTGAACCGCCCTCTTCTTCTGGCCTCTCTGCACGCACTGGCTCCAGGATGACTTCATCAACACGGAGCCCAGCCCGCTGTCCCAGGGCACAGCAGGCCCTTCGCCCCCAGCGTGGTCACCTTTGCCATCGCCTCCCTACGGCCATATTCAGGGGTTCTGCCCTGGGGGCTCACTTTCCACTCTCCTTGGAGAGACCAAAGGCACCAGCATTGGACAAGCCTCAGAGAATGCCCCATAAAAAGGGAATCAGTAGGAAGCCAAGTGCTACCCTTTCATTTATCTGGGGGAGAGATTCTCCTTATTGGAGGGGGATGGGCAAGAAATGGAACCTCCTTCTGGATATAAAACAAAAGTAAAGCTTAAAAATAAGTTTTCCCCTCCCTCAAGTTCTCTGTCTTGGGACATGAAAATAAAAAGTCCAGATTCATAATTTTTGACCCCCAAATGAAAGGAAAGATGGGAAGGAAGGTGGGAAAGGGAGTTACTTATTGAACACACACACTTTCTTATATAACCCTCGTGACAGCACGACATAGGTGTCACTGCTCACTTTTCCAGGCCTTCTCCATTCCCACAGGGAGCGGGTGTGTCTGTGAGGGTATCCACACCTATTCAGGTGACATCAGGATGAATAGGAATGCTTGCCATCATCATTATCATCATTGGGCACTTAGTGAACAGCACTTACCAAGGGCCAGGCTCTATGCAAAGCACCTTCTGGTGCTCACGCCATTGTCACAGGGACCCTCTGGGCGAATGCTGTCCCCACGCTGAGGCCGAATCTGGGGCTTAATGCACTGCGGTAATTTCCCCTAGAAGCAAAGATTGCTGGAAAGGAACCAATCTTATTTCCAGAATTTTGCAATTTACTATGAAGCAGTGATTTTCGAATTACATTCCTCCCAGCCTCACTACCTCTCCCAAACACACACACACACACACACACACACACACACACACACACACACTGCAACCACAGCTCTTCTACTTTTATCTAGTTTATATATCAGGTTCCAGGTAAGATTTTCTCAGAACAAAGAATTCTGCTGTTAAAATCGTATGAAAACTACTGGCGCAAGGAAAGCTCTGGCCGGGTGTCCCAGGGTCTGAGATCTTCCCTGAAGCGCACAGTGAAGTGCAGATCAGGAGGCACCCCCGGCGGTGGCCCTGAACCCCGCTCCATGCATTTGCCTTGCACTTGTGTTCCCCACAGATGGAGAGCAAGTCTGGTCAACTGCATAACCCAGTGGGGGGTGCTGCGGTCCACTCGGAACCTCTGCGAAGGAGAGGAAGAGGTCCCTGCCCCACTTCCCCTAATCACCCAGGCTCGTGTCTGTGACACATGAATTAGCTGTGTTTACAGTGCTGCTAATTCAGTGTTCATTTTAATAATAGTTTGTTTGCTCAATGGCCTGCGATGCTTTCATAGAGTGTAGATCATTTCCTTCTCAGATACATATTTGGGAAGATGATTATAAAATTGCCACAGCAGTGAAGGCACTTATGTCTTTACTCCCAGAGACAGAATTAATGGTGCTTTGTTTTGAGAGCGTTATCACATTTCGTGTTCCTGTTCCACTTGTATTTGTGAAACAGACTCTCGGTAACCGACTTCAAGCTCCCATTGAAAAACCCACTGCTGTGGGCTTCATTGGATTTACCTAATGGAAGGTTACGCCCTTTCCCTTTCTGCTCCACCAACGATTCTAAAGAAAAAATATCAACAGCCAGCAAGACCTGGGCGCTCTGAATCTGTCCCTACAAACAAGATGACAGATGTGATGGGTTGTTTTTTTTTACTATTTCAGGACTTCTTGATGGAGACATTCATCATGTTCAAGGACCTCATTGGGAAGAACGTGTATCCCTCAGACTGGATGGCCATGAGCATGGTTCAGAACAGGTGAGCCACCGCGGCCTCCTCACGGCCCCAGCACCCGCAGTCACTCTGAAGGACGCTGGCGGTAATAAGGCAGGATACTGTCTCCCTGGTGAAAGGAAGTCGAC